TCTCTCTCTCTCTCTCTCTCTCTCTCTCTCTCTCTCTCTCTCTCTCTCTCTCTCTCTCTCTCTCTCTCTCTCGTTTCGAAACACTAAACGGGAACGCATCTTCCCGCTTCTTCCCGCTATCGCAGGAAGATGCATTCCCATTTATTGTTTGGAAATGAGAGAGAGAGAGAGAGAGAGAGAGAGAGAGAGAGAGAGAGAGAGAGAGTCTCTCGAAACGAGAGAGAGAGAGAGAGAGAGAGAGAGAGGATGAACCCATTTATTTTTCTTATTTCTTTTTTTTTTTCTTTTTTTTTTTCCGTTTTTTTCGTGCACTTCACATGGACGTTCGGGATGACTGCGCCCGGTAGCCCCAGCCTCGGCACGGTTCGGCGTACCGGTCGGCCGAGGCTCGGACTCGATAGCTGGGCCAGGTACTGGTGGTTTAAGATTGTGGCAGTATCTTAGTTTTTCCTTCATCTGTTCGGGATCTTTCTAGTCTCTGCGCACTTCGTCCTAAAGGTTTCCCACCCTCATTACTCCCCTCTGTGCCCAGCCCCTCCGCAGGGATTCCGAGCTACAGAAGATCTAACTCCGCAAGTTGGTGATCCCGCAGTTCCCCAAAAGGGGTTGCCTTACTACTTCCTCCCATCTTTCAGGGGTCGGGCGATGTGGGAGGGGCAGAGATCTCCAAATCTTTATTATTCGGGGCCAGAAGTCATCCTTCGTCAGCTTTGTGACGAACCGATTTCTGTTCCGCGCGACTTTCTGCTCAATGACAATGAGGGGTCCTAAGTTGGGAAGGTTGGGCCAATTACGGGAGATCGTGATTGAGGGAAAATTGCATCATTGTCCTCGCTTTTTCATCTTTTCTCTTTCGTCGCTTCTTTTCGGATAGCTGGATTCAGGGTCGGGCAAGTCCCGGGATGATTGATTGAGTGGCTGTCGCGATTAATAATGGTTGACGTCGCTTCTTTTTTTGTGCTGTTGTCGGATTTAGGCGCGGAGGTCGCGGGGGAATTTTATTTCGTTCTTTTTGAATTTCTTTTTTGAATCTTGTCGAACCCTTGATGGCTCTCGGGACTTCGGATTTTCTTTTTGGAATTTGTGTCTCTTTTTGCATTAGCTAGGAATTTAGGAATTTTGGATTTCTTTTGCGGCGCGATGCCCTTGCTTGCGCGCTTCTTTTTGCGGCTGCGAGGGAGCTCTGATTAGTCGGCGCCCTTAATCTTGCAAGTAACTGTAATTTTGGGCGGGCGCCATTGTAATTGTATCTTTCTTCTTGAGCTTCCTCTTTCCCGCCCTCTCTCTTCCTTCTTGCTGAATTTGGGTAGCCCGCGGGCTGCATGATCGGACCGATGCGTGGAGAGTGGCAAATCTGGCCATGCAGAACGCAGGTGTTCCTTCCCCTAATCCTCCTTCTAAGTCCTTGCAATTTCGTGTTCTTCACGCATGCATGCATGCTATAAATTTCGGATACGCGATTAGATAGCTCTCTTAACCAGTTGTTGGAAGCTCGGGAGCGCGATCAGTGAGGGTCGGCTCGCGAGCGAAGTAAGAGGTGAGTTGAAGTGGGAGTCGGGCGACCCGACGAGCGGGTGCCAAACGTGCGGGGTTGATGCGGGCCACAACGAACTGTGGACGCGGGCGAACCTGACGGGTGCGGGAGGACTAAGCGGGGTGACGACCTCGTGGGTTGGTGCGTGACGACAGACTGTCCGCATCGGAGAGGGAGAGAGAAGAAGAGGGAGTTGAGGTTGATGGACGTGGTTTGCAATTTTCTTTGTCTTGTCTCCCTCCTTGCTTTTGTATATAAATTTTGATCTCGGCTCAGGCGATTCGCCCGTTTTCTTTTGTTTTCGAAATCTTGGCTTGGTTTCCGCCCACACTCGTTTTTGCGATTGGTCTCGAATTCGTTTATCGCGTTGTCGGCGCGAATACCCTTACAAGGATATCCGCCCTGATTTTTGCAAGTGACAGAAAACACGTTTGACCTGGAATTGTTGAGAAGGCCGCGCGACTTGCAGCAGTGTGGTGACTATAGGTTGGCTATGAGGTCTAGAAGTAGAGAGTGCGTGGGCGCGCAGGGTTTGAGGACGCGAGATTGGGAGTATGGGCGATACACATGTGAACTGATATATGGTCTATACTTAGACCTGAGATTCTTGCCCTCTGGTCAGTGGCTCCGGAACACGGCTAATACACTGGACGTATACGCTTCGTCGCATGATCCGAACGAGGGAGATGTAGACTGGGAGGAGATTCGGCCAGTAGTGGGTCGATAGGGGATGCCGTCCTTTCTACTAAATGCGTTTCTTTTGACTTGGCCGGAGTCGTCTCTCTGCCCATTATCGTAGTTAT